AAGCTAGAAAGTCTATGCCAGTGTGATGAAGGATCTGTGCTAGCAGGCTGAGGGATCTGAACTGGAGCCAGGAAGCAATACGCAAGTTAACAGAGCTCCCCCAAAAGATCCACAGCCATCCTCAGCAACAGTGATGTCCTGAGCTCCTTTAGCAAGGAGAAAAGCAGAGTTCTCATCAGGAAAGCCAATGCGACAAGCTTCATGAGGCTGAGCAGCACACCATCTTCCCCTCTGGAGCCAGGAAGCAATGCTCAAGATGAGGACTCAACCTTCTCCAAAGTTTATTGGGACAGCCAGCATGACAAGGTCTTCCAGCAGAACAGCCTGAGAGAACTAGCAGCTTCCAACAGCTCCAACAGCTTCTCCAAACAGCATGCCTAGCAGCATTTCGGCAGCTGCTCCTGTTCTGCTTGCTTGCTTGCTTGCTTTTCTTTTCTTTTCTGTTGTCCTGTCCTGTCCTGTCCTGTCCTGTCGTCCTGTCCTTTTTCTCTCTTTCTCTCTTTCTTTCTTTCTTTCTTTCTTTCTTGTAGTACCAGGGATTGAACTCAGGACGCCAGGCAAGCGCTTATTCTACCGAGTTATCCCCCCGGCCCTTGTTCTGCCTTTATGCTGCTGTCAACAATGTTCAGGTAGTTCTTCCACACCCACCACCATCCTATAATAGCCACTAGAAATTCTAGAATTGCAGCACCTGAACTGTGCCTAGCCTGAATTGAGGTGAAACATAAAAGCAGAACAAATTTGTAGGATTTTTTTGGGGGGGGGCTGTCTCAGGCTGCCTTAAGGGTGGGTCTGGGGATCAAACCACAGTCCCCTGGGCCTGACTGGGTTGGCTAGAGCTTAAACAACTGACCTATCCCACAAGCCCCCAAAGCAGAATGAATTTGAATTTATACATATGTATATAAGTATATAAACACAAAACTTTATATTTACATATATTTTCTATATATATGCATTTATCTATTATATTAAAATTTATAAATTACACTTATCTACTATATCTATATATAGCATGTGTATGCATGTGTGCACATATACATATAGTCACACCTTGGTATCTGTGGCGATTAGGTTCAAGACTACCTTACGCCATATCAAATTCCAGACATTCAAGTTTCTTATTAAAAAAATGCTGTATAAGCACATAACTTATGTACATCCTTATGTATATTGTCACTGAGATGACATAAGCTTATTGTTATGTAAATAACTGCTATATACTATTGTTTAGGAACTAGTGATAAGAAAAATAGTCCTTATAGCTTCAATTCATGCATAATTTTTTCTAAAGATTTCGAATCAGGGGGGCCGGAGAGATGGCTCAGTGGAATAAGCACTTGCCTGGCAAACACAAGGGCCTGAGTTCAATCCCTGGTTCCACCAAAAAAAAAAAAAAAAAAAGAAAGAAAGATTTCGAATCAGTAGCCGGTTGAATCAAGATAAAAGAGCAGTACATCAGAAGGACCATCTGTATGTAAATTTTATATGGACTACATTCTGAAATAATACTATTTGGGTTTTAGTGAGTTAATGTATTATTAAAATAAAGTTCATCTTGTTTCCTTTTAATGTAACTACTGTGGTAGAAAACTATAAAAAATGGCTGACATTACATTTTAATGGATAGTGCTGGTGTTAGGCAAGCTTGGGGAAAAAAAAAAAAAAAAGCTTGGGAAAGATTTCACCCATTCCCTTATCCACCTTCCACTACCTACCCACTTTCTCTACTATTTTAAACCGGAAGCACAGAGGACTATTTCATCTATGTCCCTAATATACAGCTAGTCTTCAAGGAGGAAGGAAGTTTATGCAAGAGAGCCTCTCTTATCCCTTACCTACATAACCACACGGGTTTGTCATTATCCTTTGATAGTCTACCAGGTGCTACTCCACACAAGAGACAGAGAAGTGGCTTCTAAAGGGAATTCTAGCACTGTAGAAGATTTTACCCCTGCAAATATAGCTTCCCAACTTAATTATTTGTGATAAATAACCATTGCCTTCTTAAAGTTCTTTTTTTTTTTTGGGGGGGGGAAGAGTCTTTACTTATGAAATATGTGAAATTAATTAAGAATCTCTGTTCTACCACTATGTATATTTAAGCAAAATAACTATGTTTAACTTGCTTTTCCTTCTGCCAAAAAATGAAAGACAGAAATAAACTAGCTATAATATATCTTCTAATTCCAACATTTGCTAAACAGTCTAGAACTAATAATATTTTCTTAAACTTAGCAAATATATACTCCAAGTATTTTTAAAAAGTGAAATTATTTGAATCTTTTCATAATGAGATTTAATGTTCAAAATCCATACAAAGGTGGCATGTACAGTATAGGCACATGTCATATCCTGAAATTTCAACTGCATTTAAAAACTAACAAGGGCCAGCCAGATAGCTCAGTTAACCAGAGTGCCTGCTTAGGCAGGCGCACAGACTGGCTTTCAATCCCTGGCATCACATGCTGTGCCAGTACCAGGCCCAGCCCTCCCCCCAGGACGCGATTGAGACTGGGTGTGGTGACATGTGCTGTAATCCCAGAGCTTGCGAGGCTGAAAACAGGAAGATCACCACAAGTCTGAACAGTGTAGTGAGACCCTGTAGACACTCTACTAATTACATAAAAAAATAATAATTAGTATCTATTCCCAGCTTAGATGTCTATTGCTGCATACCACAACAGTTGAGGCACAACTCTCCACTACGGAATTCTTAAACACCAAGTGCTTCTTCACATATAAGAAAATAAGGCTGGGGGTAATGAAATAACAAAAGAATACATGACCTGAGAATATTTTACTTTGTTGTATTTGCAAATATTCTTGGGGTCCAAAGTACTCACTAGCATGCATGTCTTTTTTACCTTCATGGCTCATTTTATTCTATTAGTGGTGACAGAACTAACACTAAACTATCCTAGCATTAAACAGGTAACATTTGACTGATGCATTTCATTATTTTTTTCTTCAATTTGCCCTGCCAAACCATCCAGAATAAAAACTGCAAATTTAATAGAGATGGAGTAGTTAACTGGATTTCCTTAAAAAAAAAAATCCCTAGTTAAGCAGTCACACTCAAATATACACACTAAATTAAACATCCCATTATTTAGACTTAATCCAAACACAAGTTCTCAATTCTTAGTCTGCTTCTCACAGATTAATCTGAATCTATGAGGAAGAAGGAAAAGAAAGTCTCTTCCCCTCAGTAACTTAACTGTTGGTTCAATATCAGCAAGTAGACTATGCTATCTGAATATTATAAAAGTACAATCCAGTCAAAAATCAATTACTCACAAATCTACATGTACTACCGAAGTACTAACTTAGGGAATAGTGCACAAAAACAAGATAAAATACACTTCTACATAAAGAGAAAACAAGAGATCCAATTCAACAGTACTATACAATCTATTACAGCTAAATTTCAAAAGAGAAAAAGTAAGTTACATCAAGGATTTCTTCATATCTTTTGGCTGTTCTTTGTAGATCATCATCCTTCTCTGCAATTTTTTTATGTAACTGATTTGTCTCTTCTTGATGGCTTTCTAAAAGTTCAGTTTCCACCTCCTGGGCCTTACCTAGTAAAAATGGACACACACAAGACGACACATTAGTCAATAGTGAACACATATAATCTCAATTTTTACTAAAAGCCTGCATTACAAATTAAGAAAAATTCAGTAAGAATTACAAGTTGTTTAGTGATACACTCAGCCAAAGAGTGATCAAATGATCAAAAGAACCCTCTCAGGGAGCCTAAGTATCTTTATAAGGTAATTACTAACTAATGCTTTCAGGTTCTTTCAGGAGCTTCTTCTGTCCTTGAGTCACTGCCAGATAATGCAGAGCAGAGAACTTCTAGGGAACCTACTGGAGACCTTTGTTGAACAAGAGTAATTTTTCCTCCAACTTAATGATATACAGTATTTATCCAACTGAAAAAAGGAAAAGCTTAAACTATAGCATCTGTGATTGTGATTTAATCCTTTCTGAATTTAAAGCTGTACTTACTGATAGTTTCTTTTATGGTCATTTCTAGTTCTTGTTCTTTTTGTGCCAGCTGGGTATTAAACTCCCTCATCAGCTGTTTTAATGTGGAATTGTGCTTCAACTCAAGATCTTCCTGCTCCTGTCTGAACAACAAAAATGTAGAGTTAACTGCTGCCACACAAAAAACTAATTGCAAAAGAGTTACTTGGATTTCAAGACAGTACACTCTCACTAGTAAAATAATTTTAAAGGGGTGTGTGTGTTTCAAGTACAGAAAGTTTCAGGAAAAATATAAACCATGAACCCTAGGGAGTGCTCTCAAACCTGAAGAGTAACTTTTCCCACTTTAAATTTCCACTGTAGACACCTGTGCTATCTAATAATAATAATAATTATGCTACTACTAAATATAATAAAACCAAAAAGAAAAGTTACTTGGATAAATAGCTAGTAATTACCATCTTACAAAGTGTTTCTAGTTTTTCTCCTTAAATGGACATGGATACCACTGCCTGCTCTCTTAACCTGTTTTTTAATTTCTCTTCAATATTTTAACTTACTGAATTTATGTTCAATACTGCTTTCTTCAGTACTTGAGGAGCAAAGCTCTATCACTGAGCTATATCCTCAACCCTTTTGTTATTTTAAAAAATTTTTTATTTATTAATTTTAATGAGAAAGAAATAGCAATGAGACAGTTTCAAAACAGGTTAGTAGGGACAGTTACAATAATTAATACATTGCATATTGTTGTCTTAAAGAAATTATTATTATCTTTTTTTTTTTTTTTTTTTTTTTTTTTTGGTGGTACCAGGGATAGAACTCAGGACCTTGTACTTGCCAGGCAAGCACTTATTTCACTGAACTATTTCCCCAGCTCTGGTTTTTTTTGTTGTTGTTGTTATTTTTTAAAATTTTGAGACAAGAATTTGCAAAGTTGTTCAGACTGCCCTCAAAGTTGACAGCCTCACACCTCAGCCTCCTGAGTAACTTGGCCTTACATTTAACATTCTGTGTATGTGGAGCATCCAGATAACTTAAAATAACTGTATTAGCACATGCACAAAAAGAATAGAGGAGTGCTAAAATAAAACTTACTTGATTTTCTCCTGCATTTCTTGCTCACATTCTTTCTTTAGTAGATTTAATTCTTGCTGATGCTCCTTCCTTAATGTTCGAAGGTCTTTCTGCAATCTAACAATCTCCTTGCTCAGTTTTTGCTTTTCTCTCTCTGCCTCTGCTAACTTAAATTCCAGGTCATTGTGCTGGGCTTCCAAGTTACCAACCAATTTGGGTTGGATTACATGCGATTGAGAATTTTCTTTGGTACTGTCTCCCAAAACTTCAGTGAGTTTTTTTTCATCGATATGTTGCTGTACAGCCTGTAATTTCTTATATTTTGAAATCAACTCTTCCATTTCGAGTCTATGTCCCTCCTTTTCTCTTACTAAGCAAGAGTCCAGTTCTTTTATCTTTTGCTCCAATGCCTGACAAGTTAGTTCCTTCTCCTGGAGGGTTTTCTGGATATTGTAAACTACATTTTCCAAGTTCTGCTTTGCCCCTTTATTATCTTGACCTCCCTCTTCTTCCACAGGCTGAGATGCTATCAAAGAATATTTCTTTTTCTCTTCAAGGTCTTCTTGAAGAACCTGACCCTCATCTTCTTTTGCTTCAGCACATTCTAACTGCATGAAGACCTCCTGGTTCTTGTACTGCACTTCAGGTGATAATGTAATTGTCTCTTTTTCCTGTTCTAGCTTATTTTTTTCAGTTAAACTTCTTTGTAAAGCACTAACTTTTTCTTCATATGCCTTTTGCACAGAGCTTTGGGAATCTGCTTCTTTTTGTTCAGTATACACTGCCATATTTTTTGCTATTTCTGATTGTGGAAAACTTTCTACTAACTTAAGTTTTTCTTCTAAGATGTGAATTTCCTTCTCTCTTTCTTGCAATTTTTTATTTAGCTCATTCAAATGGCTTTCTACACCTTTTTTATGTTGCTGTTCTTTCTCCTCCACTTGAGACAATAGCTGTTTCTTGATAGCAGCAATTTTTTGTTCAGCTTTTTTCTTTAATTCTGCTAATTTTGTTGCACTTTCCAATTCAAATTTCTCTTCCAATGATTTAAACTCCTCTTCCTTGATTTTCATACTTGAATTCAAAGATTCTAATTCTTTACTCTTAATTTCAAGTTCAGCTTCCATGAAAGACACTTGCTTTTCAAGCTTTAAGACTTTTTCCTCAGCTTCCTTAGCCCTGTTATCCTTTTCTTCTCCTAAGTCTTGAAAGTGTTTAAGTTTATGAACCAATTCTTTCTGCTCATTATCTTTTTCTTGATTGTAATTTTTTAAAATTTCATTTAAGGACTCAATTTCAGTTGTTTTCTGAGTAACATGATCCTCTAATTCCTTAATCCTTGCTGTTTGAGTCTTTAACTCAGTCTCTAAATTACTCTCCTTTTTCTCCATCTTGTTTTTGTTATCTTCCATTTCACACTTCAGATGTTCAAACTGTTTCTTTTGCTGATCAAGGTTTTCCTTCAATAAATATATATGCTCATCTTTTTCACTAGCTTCCTTTGTTTTTAACTCAAGCTGCATCTGAGATTCTTTAATAGTGTTTTGATATTGTACAAACTTTGATTGTGCTTTTTTCTTCCATTCTGAGAATTTGTTAGACCAGTGATCCACCTGCTCAAGAGCAGAAATTTTCTCTTTATTCAGAGTATCGACTCTCAAAGATAAATCTTGCACCTGATCCTGTAATTCATGTTGTTGTTTATCATACTGCTTACTTAGTGAGGAAATGGCTGCTTCTTTTTCAGTTAGGCTGATACTATTTTGAAGCTGAGCATTCAAATCAGTTAGTTGTTTTTTAAGAATGACCATCTCAGATTTTTTTTCTGTAAGCTCTTCTTTCATCAGTGTGACAGCATTGATGTTTTCAGATAATTCTTTCTTTAACTGTGTGATACAAGACTCTTTTTCTGAAGCAACCTGTTGCTGATTACCTCCTTCCTTCTGTAGGGCTTCTTTTTCTGTTATAAGACCTTCGATTTCAGCTTTCATGCTCTTAATTTGATTTTCCTTTTCTTCTAACTGGTGGGTGGCCTGTTGGAAAGAAGTACTTAGTGTATTTTGCTCTTCTGCTAGTTGTCTAAGTTGTGCTTCTAATTCAGAAACTTTGCAAATTTTTATCATCAATGCCTCCTTAACTTTAGTTGTGTGGTGCTGACAATGAGAGATCTTCGCAACAATGGCATTAGTTTTACTACCACAAATGTCTATTAGCTCATTTGTTTTAGCTTCTAATAAAGCTTCAGTTTTCTTGTAGTAACTATCTATCTGAAATGCTAGTTCCTCAGACAGTGTCTTGAATGCTAAGCTTTTGTCCTCTAGGCTTTTATTACTTGTTTCATGTAAAGACTTTAAGCTCTGGAATTCCTCATCCTTGGTTTTCAATTTATCAGTCAATTCAGAAACCTTAAACATATCTTTTTCTGCCAGCACTTTCAGTTCAACTAGTTGCTCCTGAAGAGAAGTATTTTCTTTCAAAGACTGGTTCAAGTCAACCTCTAGCTTTTCAAGTTGTGCTCTGAGTATAGTTTCATTCTGTGAAAGAGTAGTCATATGAACACACTTCTGCTTTAGCTGCTCCTGCAATTCATTTAATGCTCCATCCTGTTTAACACCTTCTTCCTTCAGCCATATTATTTCCTTATTCATCTCTTCCTTTTCACACCCACATATATGGATCTTTTGCTTGAGTTCATCTATCTCTTGCTCTTTCTTCTGTAATTGGATTTCATATTTTTCATGAAGTTCTTCAGCTTGCTCCTTAAGTTTTTTTTCCCAGCTTGAGACAACATTGTTGAGTTCTTGCTGGTGCACCTCTGTGAGACTTTCTATTTGCTCCTTCTGGTTTGTTTCAAGTTTTGACACTGCATCACTGATTCCAGCTAAGTTAGCCTGTGACATTTCCAACATTTTGGCATTGAACTGCTTTTCTTTCTGATCAAGCTCTAGGACAGTATTTTCAAGCTCTTTTCTAAGTTTGGCTTCCTGATCCACCAGTTTCTTCTTTAATGTTTCTTGTGTCTCCTTTGCTTTCTGTTTAATTTTTTCCATCTTCTTTTCTTGATTTTTAAATTTAGTTTCATACTCCTCCTGCAATGTACTAACACTATCCTCCTTGGCTGACAATTTCTTTTTGAGTATCTCAATTTCTTTACATTGTCCGTCTCTTATTTGTAAAATTGTATTTTCTTTTTCCAACAACATTTGTTTTGTCTGCTCTTGTTCAATGTTACTATCTTTAAGTTGGGACTCATATAATTGTGTTAAAGATTGTATTTTCTGCTCCATTTCACTGTTCTGTTTTTCAAGTTGTTGCATCGTGTCCTGCACCTGCATTTTATGCATATCTAACTCAGTACAAACATTTTTCTTCTGTGTTTCAATTTCAGCTACCTGATCGATAAGAATAATTTTTTCTCTTTCCAAGTTTAGTAACTTCTGCTGCAATTGAGCGACCTGCTCCTCATATGCTTTTGCCTGTTCATGTGTGGTGCTCTGGTATGACTGAGTAAGATCCAGCTTAACAGATGCCTGCTGGAGTTCTTCTTTGGATTTTTTAATTTCTGCCTCTAAATGTTCTACATGAGCCTGCTGTTCTTCCAAATTCTTGTTCTTTTCCTTCAATAGAAGCCTCAATTCATTAATTTGCTCTTCTAATGCATTTTCAGTTCTTTGGATAGATATTTCTTGTTCTTTAATTATTCTATCAACTTGCTGCTGATGCTGATTTTTCTGTTCATCCAGCCTGGCCTCTAATTCCTGCTTCATTTTATCTGATTGATTTGTTAAAACAGAAAGTTCCTCTTCTAGCTTACTGCGAGCTTTTAATACTTCTGACAGCTCAGAAGATAACGATTCCAGTTCTGTTTGCTTCACATCAAGCTTTTCTAAAGTCTTTTCATTCATCTCTTCTATGTGAGCCTGGAAAAGACTCTCTTTCTCTTTCAGTAAGGTTTCTTTTTCTTTTTCCCATGTCTCCCTACATTTTTTCATCTCCGTCTGATGCTGTTGTTTTAAGATTTCGAGTTTTTCAGTCCAAAGCTTATCCTGCTGATGCTGCAGGCTCTCCAATTCTGCCTTCTGTTTTTCAGCCATGATTTTAAGTTCTTCATTGTGTTTATTTTTTTCAGCTTCCAAATAAACAGCTAAATCTTCTGATTGATTTTTGTTTTCTTGCAAGCTTTTTGCCAAAGAACTTTCTAATTCAAGAATTCTCTGTTAAAGAAAACGGATTTATTTTTAGCAATAATATACAGATATGTCCAGTACCCACTTAAAAGTTAATTTAGATAACTATATATCATACCAAACAACTAAATGACAAGCAATATGTTTACCCCGAATTACTAAAGGAATCATATAATAGAGAAAAGATATTTTTTTTTATTTTTTATTTTTTTTTATTTTTCAACAAATAATACACTGCATATATTCTTAGTGGTTAATTGCTGTACAAGATGCGGACTTGTGATCCTATTTACAAACACCATTAGAACAAATCATTCTATTCATTAACAGAATGTAACTATATATCTATCCCAACCACTTTGAATACACAGATACAAAATGGACATTCATCTGTATACCCCATTTTTTCTAAGTTCCGTTATTGAATATTATAGGTGTGTAAACTCAGCAAAATATTCTAAAAGAGTCCAGTAGCCCATAATAGCATTGGGTCTTCTGTTTAACCGGCAATGTCAGAAATTATTGACCTGAGTCCCCCACAGCTCAACTTAACAGCATGGCTTTATTTCTTATAATTTCGTCTTCATACTTTTCTGCTGGATGGTTAAGACCAAGGAGAAAAGATATTTTTAATAGTCTTCAAAATTCTGGAATTTCTCCTTATTTGGTTAACTATTTCAACTACTATTTCTTTCAAGAATATTCTAACTGGATATTCAAAACAGAAATAAATCACAATGTATCATAGTAACATATGTTACCACAAGTTGGATTCTACCCCTCAATATTTATTTTAAGGATTATGGTATAGTATACTACTTAAATGATTTAATTTTAGAAGAAAAATAACATATGTGATTTTCCTTACTATATCTGAGTTTCCTAGCCACAAATTATTATTCAGAAGGTTTTCTTTAAAAATGTACTTATGGACCAGGGAGATAGCACAGTAGAATAAACGCCTCCCTGGCAAGCGCAGGGTCCTGAGTTCAATCCCCAGTATTGCAAAAAAATAGAAAGACAGACAGAAAGAGGTACTTATACAAATTTTACCAGAGATTACTATTATCTCATAAACATATCAGTTTTGGTTCTGACGAAAAGCTAAAGTAAGCAGAGCCATAGAAGGTCAGAAGGAACTAAAAAAAGTCCAACCTCTTCATATGAATAGTAAGGAAACTATGGTACAATTAATTTACAAATCGAGCAAAGTATAAGACATAGGCTGCTTAAGTGCTTATTTCATCCTACTATGCCACCTTTTATAAATGTTTGGCTTTGGTTTTTTTATTTGTATTTTAGTACAGGGTCTATAGGGTCTCACTATGTAGATCAGACTCATAGTGATCTGCCTATGTTCAGCCTCCCAAGAGCTGAGATTACAGGCACACGCCATCATGCCCAGTCTCAACTGGGCACACCCCGGGGGTGGGGCCGGCATCACACGCCAGGGTATAAATGTTAATGGTGGAAAATATAAAGCACAATTTAGAAGTGTAGGTAAGGAGTATAACTGTTTCACTGTCTAAATCACAGCAAAAAGGCTAACATCTAAATAGCATTACTATGTTTTCAAAACAGCACAATTCAAAATACTGCTGAGAGAAAGGACCAGTGGGTTTTACAAATATGTATACTCAGGGGTGTGTGTGTGTGTGTGTGTACACATACACACAATATGGATATGAAAGTAGGGAGTTGCTATAACTAAACTCTGACATAAGCACAAAACAGATAATGTTTAGGACGTGGTGTGAGATGAAGGTTGACAAGCAAGAAGATGCTAAGAGAAGTACTATCTACAAAGTGAGGCTACTTCCTAGAGATCAAGGCTGAGTAGACAATGGAACAGAGATGCTGAGCAGTCTGAGTACAAAGGGGCAGAATGAGTGGCTGATGAAAATATAGCTAGCTCAAACTAGAAGCACCATGTAGCAAACAGAGCACCAAACCCATGCTCGTGAACAGTACACACTACCTAAAAAATGAAAGTCATATATATACATAAACCTAACCCAGTTAAAAAAAAGCTTCTCTGAAACTGTAATTAATGCAGAGCTACTGATAATCTCCATAAGAAATCAATTTCCTAGCTCTGGAGCCTACACATTGTTTAACTTACAGTTCTGTAAGTTTCTGCTTCTTGCTGAAGGTCCTGAAGTTTATTTTCACTCTCTATGAGGATTGCTTTTTTCTGCAATTCTAACTCCTCCAGGGCCAAAGATTCTTGCAGCTCTTTTTCTTGGGTGATCTTCAAATATTCTGATTGACTCTTTTCCTGTGCCAAAAACAATTAGTATCATCTTAAACCCACATAAATATTTAGCATTCCCAAAGCATTTCCACAAGAATTATTTTTTCATTTGATCTGCTCCCATCCCTGTGAGATAGGCAACACCATCATCTCTCTCATCTGCAGAAATGAGGCACTGAAGTTATTTTCCACTATAGCTTTGCCACAATTATGCTTGCAATGAAAAGTTCTGTTCCAATAAGCCCATTATGTATGCTATTTTTCTACTGCTTAAAACACTTTACACGACACCTCAAAAAGTGAAGGATCTTATAAGTGCTGCTATCTTATCCAAGTGAAATTGGTACTTCAACAGTAGGTTTAGAAACTAGATTTTTAAATTTACGTACTTTGTGAGAAACACCTCATAGGGTCCCTCACATGGAAAAGCAAATAAAAATCAGAAGATTACTTCTGAATACATAGGTTAGATCAAGAAAATAAGCATAAAACAAAGCCTACAGGACTCTTTTTAGATGATCTGAGCTCCAACACACCCTCAGTTCCGAAAAGCTTCTTTGTCCTTACTATGTATTCATATTTATGTTTATATTTATATTAGAAGTTTTCACTTTTTTGGGAAGATAAGCAAGCACTTTTAACATTAAATTAGCAAGCTAAGTGATAATTTCTTAATTGAAGTCTAATTACAAGAAGTGTACTTACCCATACTTATTAGACACAGGGTTTTTTTGCTTTTGTTTTTGTTTTCTTATGTATTTGGTACAGAGACTCACTATGCAGCTTGGACTCATAGTGATCCTATTTTCAGCCTCCCCAGCACTGCTATTACAGGTGTGCACAACCACACCCAGTCTCTGTGGTCGATTCAGCACACCTAGAGGTGAGGCCAGCAAGGCATGTGATGCTGGGGATGGAACCCTGGTCCCTGTGCTTGCCTAAGCAGGCACTTGGTCCTCTAAGCTATCTCTCCGGCCCTGATATAGATTATTGACAGCAGTAATTTTCAGATCATTATACTCTAGTGAAGTATAATACTTCATGAAACAATTATGTTTCATATTATATTGATTTTTAAACATTTTCAATATACTGTACTGCTTAATACAATGCGTGTGTGCACAAATGCTCTGGATTAAACACAAAACCTTTACACTGAGCTTTATGCACAATCTGTTTTTGACTCACCGGGCTTGCCAAGTCAGGCTGGGCTCAAACTTGCAATCTTTCCTGCCTCACCTTCCCAGAGTACAGGTATGCACCACAACACCCATGTAAATATATTTTAAATGCAATTTTTCTATATCTGAATAAAAATGAAAGAGGAAAATTGAAACTCTGTTCAATTAAGAAAGGAAGGGAATGTTGCCTATAATCCTAGCATTCTGAGAGGCTATGGCAGAAAGAGTCCAAGTTCAGATCCAGTCTGGGCAACTTAGTGACTTACTTAGACCCTGACTCAAAATAAAAATTTAAAAAGGGTTAGAGATGTAGCTCAGTGTGAAGGCCCTGGGTTCAGAAACACAAACAAGAAAAAAACAAAACAAAACAAAAAAAGCAACATAAAGGAAGTGGAAAACATACATTCACATATGTGTCTTTCTTGTACTACTTAAAATATATCTTAATATATCAGTTCCTAGAAAACAACATTAATAGGGGATGTAAATGAAGGACCATTTTGTATCTGTATATACAAAATAGTTAGGATAGACATACAGCTACCTTCTCTTAATTCAATTAAAAGTAAGATTTGTACTAATAATGTTTGGACAGGATATCATGTCTGGCCTAGCCACCAGTAACTGTCACGGTCATTATGCATGTCCACAACACACTAGAACTTTGATATCCTATCCTCAAACTGTTAGAAGTGCCGGTCATTTACTTGCCATTCCAGTATTTATCTTATGTTTCACTCTTAGTACTTCTTTGCTATCGTGAAAACTTTTTCTTAGTTCAATCATTTTGAAACATTTAATTTTTAATTAATTAGAATTTAATTTTCTGAATATTGCTTAATCTTAATTTTTGTTCTAAGATTTATACTATATCTTTGACTTACAATTTATTTAAAAGACATTGTATGATATCTTTTCCTAGTAGTAGAAACTTTGAAAAGTATATTTCCATTTTCTGTTGACTTTATATTACTTCTTCCCTGTCTTTTATACACACATACATACACATATATGGAAAAAAATATGTGTATAACCCCCCCCAAAAAAAAGGATATCATGTCTGCATCTTGTACTATGAATAGCTACTATGAAGACAATAAGCAATGTATTAATTATTGTAACTGTCCTACTAACCCATTTTGAAACTGTCTGGTTGTTATTTGTTTCTCAATAGAAGTAATAATAAAAAAAAAAAAGAAAGAAAGAAAAGAAAACAATACTAATAATGTCAATGTTTAAGGCCAAGTTGCTCCAAAAACCCAAACTGCCCCAGCATGAAAGTCCACAATTGGTCTTCATTAAGGGCTTTTTAACATTGTTTCCAGTTTCACTTATAAGAATTCCACTTTTGGGCCAGAGAGATAGCTCAGTAGAATAAGCATCTGCCTGGCAAGCACACGGTCCTGAGTTCAATCCCTGCTACTTCCAAAAAAAAAAGGTTCCTTATAAGAATTCCAATTTCTTCCTTAATTTCCATGCCCCCATTTGCTTTCTGTCCCTATTTTTAATTTGAACTGTCTTGTTATGGCTTAATATTCTCACACCTTTCTATAAGTTCTCAAAAATACTCCCAATTCAGACCAACAAAAAATGCAAATACATGTCAATATGTGTAGATTTCACAACTACACACTAATTTTCTAACTTTCAGACAGAACAGTACTTAAAATCATGTGCCTGTTTGCCCCACAAAGAAGACTAGAAAATTTGTGACATCAGTTCAAGAATTCTTGCTATTAAAAATTTCCTGAGCATTGGGGCCAGGGAGATGGCTCATTAGAATAAGTGCTTCCCTGGCAAGCGCAAGGGCCTGAGTTCAATCCCCAGTTCTGCCAAAAAAAAAAAAAAATTTCCTGAACAACAAAAACAAAAAAATTCCTGACATTCAGCCACAATTAAGAATGAAGAAAATGATGTATGAAAACAATTACAGTTTTAAGACTATTTCTCATCCTTTTTCACTGAACACATTTTAAAATTATACATATTATTTTACAACTTCATATTAAAACAAACTACATTTTTAGTATTAGCATTCCTCATAGTAATTTATATACAAAGATTCCACAAGAAATTTTTTTTCTAATTTTCAAATTATGCCAGTTGAACAAAGTTTTCAGCAAAAATACGAATCTAAGCTTTTCTGGTTATTGATTTTGTCATTTCAGTAAATTTTTTAGAATTTAAGTTTATTCTTTAAACTGAAGCATATTAACTTTTTTCTTCTTTAAAATGTAATTGAGGGCTGGCGAGATGGCTCAGTGGTCTAAAGCACCTACTTGGAACAAGCTTGGCAAAGCACAGGGACCACGGTTCGATCCCCCAGCACCACATGCCAGCCAGCCTCGCCCCCTGGTGGGCTGAGCTGGCCACACACACACACACACACACACACATAATAAATAAATAAATGTTAAAAAAAATGTA